GCAGGGGCTTAGCAAGGGCAGAAGGATCCTCTCCTCAGCCCTCTGCAAGCAGACCCCCAGATCCAAAAGGCTTGGTAGCAACTTTTTTTTTGGTGGCTGCATGAGAAAACACTCAAAGTGAGTCACCCCTCATTACCCTGCAGTGGGAACAACAAAGGTGACACGTTTCCTACTTTCTTCCTTCTAGTCCTTTGAGGATTAGTGACCTTTCACCGTTGTTATCAGCTTGACCCTGCCTGTGCCTTGTGCAAACCAACAAGTTCAGTCCCTTTCTGACTCAGCCTCATCCAACCTCCCTGTTTAGTTAGGAATGCACACAGCAAATAGCTTTGTCTTTCTTCCTCCAAGACAGTGTCTGTTGGAGGATTTTGCTGGAGAGAAAAGCAAGGATCTCTTCCTGCAGCTTGATCTCTGCCCAGCTGGCAGGGAAGAGGCAGGTTGGCAGGCAGGGTATCAGTGTTCATTTACAAATTTCCCTTTTCAGCATTACCATTTGAGATAACATTAACTTTCTGCCCTTAATGGGCTTGGCCACCTTTCATTTTCACCTGTAGTTTCTACTCCCCCTGCTCAGGAGAGTTCAGGATGTACTCTCAGTAAAGGAGACCTGAGAGATGGCTAAAAATTCCTTGACTTGCTCTTGATAGTGATTTTATAATGTCTGTCACGGGGGACATCCATGATATCCAATTTGGGGCTTAAAAATCCCCCTTAGGACACAAAAGTGCCTACAGATCAGGATAAATGTTTAATAAAACCATAGCTACGTTGGAAAGAGAGGCCATCCCATTGTATAACCAGTTGGCAAAAGACCTAGTGGAAAAACAAGGAGGTTGGGGGGTTTTCTCCTCTCTCTGTTGAAAACAGTAGGACAGGATGAGGTGTTAATTTATTTCAGGACCTTCCAGCTGGCAAACTGGGAGGCAGTGCCATCCTGCCTCTGAGGTTCTTGACAGAGCTAAGAAATAATCTAGTTGGGGGGAGGAGAGAAATTACAAACCAGTTTTAAGCATAAGAAGAGCTTGTCAGGGGGTTCTGCCTGTGAAAGAGAAGCAGGGCTGCAGTTTTGTGGCAGAGCTCAGAGCAGCTCTCATCCCTCTGCAGTTGGGATGGACCAGCTTGGAGTTGTGTTCACAGTAAGAGCCTCAGCAGAGCTCTCCGGTTGCAGCTGAAGCCACCACACTGCTCTTCACACCTGACCACATGAAAATGAGCATCATTTCTGTCCAGTCCTCAGCTGTGGGCTGAGATGCCCAGTCCTGACTGACGGGAACAGAAAGTGCTGCTGGGCTGCCTGGGTGGGCACATTTTGTATTGAATAAGAGCAATATCCAGGGGGAATATTGGGAATAGCTCTTCTGCTTCACTAGTCCAGGTAAATCAACCTGCAAATACTCCCCATGGGTGGAGGATCTGCCTTGTCCATGAGCCCCATGTAGGATGGCTGGTTGAATTCACAGAATCACAGGATGTTAAGGGTTGGAAGGGACTTCTGAAGATCATTGAGTCCAACCCCCCTGCCAGAGCAGGACCAAAACTAGGGCAGATCACTCAGAAAGGCATCCAGATGGGTCTTGAAAGTCTCCAGAGAAGGAGCCTCCACAACCGCTCTGGGCAGCCTGTCCCAGGGCTCTGTCACCCTCACAGTCAAGAAGTTCTTCCTCATGTTGAGGTGGAACTTCCAAATTAAATTGGCTTCAGCACTCATCTTGCCACACCAGCACCAGCAGCACACTGGGATGCTCACAGTGGAACTGGGAGGCTCCAGGTTCTGTCCTCTGCCTTATGTGAAAGCAGTGATCAGGGATGATGCAGTTAAACCCATTGACACAGTTACATTATTTTCCTTTTTTTTATTGAAAGCTTCTTATTTTGAGTTAAATCTTTGTGCAGACAAGCCCTATGAATCAGAAGGTCTCAAACACCCATTTTTCTGCATTTCTCCCATCTCACCATACACAAGCTTTGCTCCATAAAACACTGGGAACATAGGAAAAAGGTGTGTCAGGACGAAGGGACCTTCAAGATCATCTAGATCCAACTGCCATGGGCAGGGACACCTCCCAGCAGCCCAGGCTGCTCCAAGCCCCATCCAACCTGCCCTTCAACACTGCCAGGGATGGGGCAGCCACAGCTTCCCTGGGCAGCCTGGGCCAGGCTCTCACCACCCCCACACCGTCTCACACCATCTTGCTGTCACCAGGCTGGTTAGCACCAGTAAATCCCCACTACAATTCATATTCCAGCTGCATTGCTCCAGGGCTGTACATAGGACCTTTGTTTTGGTCTTTCATTTTTCCAGGGCCTTCCAGCACAGCAGCAATGACTAACAAAAGCTGCCAAGCAGGTGGATAAATGCTACAGACTCACAGGTGTGGAAGTACCTCACATCTTGATTGTTCTCCTTTATGTCTTAAACATCTAGGGGGAAAAAAAAATGAAGCTAATGTGGAACCTTCCCAGAAGGATGACTCTGGATTCCCCTTGATGTGTCATTTCCCTGGGTGCCCTGGTTCTCAGGTACGTGGCTCAGGATTTGTTGGTTTGTTTTCAGGCAAAAAATCTATGAGCTCAAAAGGAAAATTAAGGGACTTATTAACATTTCAATGGTCAAGAAAAAGTAAAACTTCAGCATCAGACTGAAGTGTTGAATGACATGCCCAGGCAAGTAATGTCTATAACAGAGAATGCCATGCAAAATTCCTCTTTCAGATTCCCAGTTTACTCATAGAGGAGATGGGATTGTGAAGTTGCAGTGAAGTTAGTTATAATGAAGTTATAGTCATTACTATCCTTGCAGCCTTAAAAGGAAAGTCAGCATTAGAGATGAAATGTACTTAGCTGAAAAAGGAGCACTGAGGGGTAGGAAGGCAAACACCTCTGATTCTGTCACTATTCTTGTTCACTGCATCACCTTAATCTTCCCAGCAGCTGAACCTGTAATTGTAGGAGGATATAATTGCTACTTGTTCTCAAGGGTTATCAGTTAGAGCTACCTCTTGTTACCTCCCACGGTCAGTTGTTTTTACTTGAACCACTGATATTCTAGGCTAAAAAGCAGCACAAAACCAAGACTGACCAGTTTCTGGGAGATGAGGAACTCTCATGGTGTGTGGTTGTGCATTATGGGATCAGTCTATCTCTCTGGCTTTCCCGTAGCTCTCCTAGATGTGTGTGCTGGTGGAGGTCAGCAGAAAGGTGTGACATGGAATGAGAAAGATCTGCCTGGGCCCCACTGCCAGCTGAGTGCAGACCATTCATGGGAGGAGTTAGTGCTGAGGTCTCCCAAGTGAGGTGTAAATGAGTTTCATCAACTCTGATCTGTTGCCAGATCCACCCACTTCCATTTCAACTTATTTTTTGCTCCTGTGAGTCACAGAGTCATCAGGGTTGGAAGGGACCTCTGGAGATCATCTAGTCCAACCCTCTGTAGAGCAGGGTCACCTATAATAGATCCCACAGGAACACATCCAGAGGGGTTGGGATGTCTCCAGAGAAGGAGACTCCAGCACCTCCCTGGGCAGCCTGTCCCAGGGCTCTGTCACCCTCACAGTCAACAAGTTCCTCCTCATGTTCAGCTGGAACCTCCTGTGCTCCAGTTTGTGCCCAGTGCCCCTTGTCCTGTCACTGGGCACTGCTGGGAAGAGTCTGGCACCATCCTGCTGACACCCCCTGGAGATATTGAGGAGGGTTGATGAGATCCCCCCTCAGTCTCCTCCTCTCCAGCTGAACAGCCCCAGCTCTCCCAGCCTTTCCTCACAGGCAGGTGCTCCAGTCCCCTCAGCACTTGGGGGCCCTGCCCTGGACCCTCTCCAGTAGCTCCTTGTCCATCTCTGAAGACATTCACAAGCTGTCCTGCACAACTGGCTCTGGATGGCCCTGCTTGAGCAGGGGGGCTGGACAAGGTGGCCTCCAGAGCTCCCTTCCCACCTCAGCCTTTCTGGGATCCTGAAATCAGCTCTGCTTGACATTAATTAACATTAATTAAAGTCAGCTCTTGCTCATCCATATCTGGAATCTTGTTTAAGTGCTGTTTGTAACAGATGCTGAGTCACACAGCATGACAGGTGGTAAATGAGTGCAGATATTAAAGTAATTTTAGGTCATTTGCTCCATGTCTGCCCAGTGGATTGTTAATGGAAATGAGGGGCTCCACTATCAGTTAAATTGTCACTGGTGGGACACGTCCTGTGCCAGCCTCACTGATTCTAACATGGGGTGATGACACAAAGGGGAGAAGAAGATAGACTCAGTTACTCACAGTGACCCATTTGGCCTTCATCTGGCAGCAACAAATGCTGACACGTGATGAAGTGACACCACTGGTTTATTTTCTCATGATCCTCTAAGAATTTCAGAATTAATATTTCCTGATGTTATTTCACAGAATCACAGAATCCCAAACTGGTTTGTGTTGGGAAGTACTTTAAAGACCATCCAGCCCCAATCCCCTGCATGGGCAGGGACACCTCCCAGCAGCCCAGGCTGCTCCAAGCCCCATCCAACCTGCCCTTCAACACTGCCAGGGATGGGGCAGCCACAGCTTCCCTGGGCAGCCTGGGCCAGGCTCTCACCACCCTCACACCAAAGAATTTCCTCTTCATGTCGAACCTCAATCTTCCTCTTCCACTTTTCATCCATCCCCCTCATCCCATCCCTCCCTGCCCTTGTCCCAAGTCCCTCCCCAGCTTTCCTGGAGCCCCTTCAGGCACTGGAAGCTGCTCTAAGGTCTCCCTGGAGCCTTCTCTTCTCCAGGCTGAACACCCCAACTCTCCCAGCCTGGCTCCAGAGCAGAGCTGCTCCAGCCTACATCTAAATCTCTCCTCTTCCAGTTTAAAACCATTCCCCCCCATCATCTTCCATGCTGTGAAGTCAATTGTTCACTTGGGTTTGCTGGACAGGATAGAGCAATGTCAGTCACTGTATTTGAGGCAGTTTGCTTCAAGAAAGCTTGGAGAAATCTTAGTAAAACTTTGTGTTTGAATCCTCCCAGTGTCCAGAGCCAGCAGCCAGCACTGCAATGTGGTGGTTTCAACAAGGCCTCTCTGTCCTGCCTGTGGCTTTGGTGGTTTGGTCAGCTGCATCTTTTGTCTTCTCATACATCACAGCAATCGTCCTACACCACGTGGACCCCCTGGTGCCCTACATCAGGTCAGTGACATTTCTGCTGCCTCCTGGTGCTCAAACTGGCCTCTCCCTCCTCTGACTTCTTCCCCAGCTCCCAACATCCTTACCTAACAGCTCCAGTTCTAAAGCTACTACCTGTTCAGAGTTACTGGTGTGTAACTCCATCCAGAGGTGTCTATTTTCATGCAAAAGTGTCACCGTTAAGCTGTGGCTCTGTGAATGTGCCCTTAAAATGTTGATGAACAAGAAAACTTTGGGTGCATCTCAATCCCTCTGTGCAGGGTAAAGCATCTTCATAGAGTCATATGGTAGAGTCACAGACTGGTGTGGGTTGGAAAGGACCAAGATCAAGATCATCTAGTTCCAACCCCCTCCATGGGCAGGGACACCTCCCACCAGCCCAGGCTGCTCCAAGCCCCATCCAACCTGCCCTTCAACACTGCCAGGGATGGGGCAGCCACAGCTTCCCTGGGCAACCTGGGCCAGGCTCCCTCCACCCTCACACCATCTTGCTGTCACCAGGCTGGTTAGCACCAGTAAATCCCCACTACAATTCATATTCCAGCTGCATTGCTCCAGGGCTGTACATAGGACCTTTGTTTTGGTCTTTCAGTTTTCCAGGGCCTTCAGTCTCCCAGAGTTAATGCTCTTTTTTACCTTTTATGGAATCAAGACCAAGACAAAAGGAATAGTTACACCCAGCATGCTCATTCCTTGTCTTTATCATGCTTATTCCTACAGCTCTAAAACCAGCAAAATATACTTTGAATAATGAAAAATTCGGCATAAAAAGATTCCTGGGAGGGTTTTTTCACAAACCTGTTTCTTATGGTTCCTTTGTAGACTGAAATGAAGTTCTGTTGCAAGTGTTTTTAGTCTAGACAGATACATCTCACTCCATTTATCTCTTCCAGTGACACAGGGACAATACCTCCTGAAAGATGCTTGTTTGGGATCATGTTAAATATTTCTGCTTTCTTGGGTGAGTATGGAAAGCTGTTCTTGGCAAACTGCAGCTCTGGAATGCACATGACTTTATAAACAATTGAGTTTCATTATTCAGATCATTAACCAGCTCATAATTCTCAGTCAAAACTTAAATTCTAAGCAATCAATCTTAATTATCTTAAATAATGCAGAGGAATGTTTATGTCATATCAACAAAGCCAGCCTGTCAGTTGAAGATTCCAGAAGGACAAATATTTGTTTAAAGAACCCAACAGACTCATAAAAGAACTAGAAATGGAAATTCAAGACACTCACTGTGCTGCCCTTGTGGAGGGGGGGGAACAACCTAGAGATCATAGAATCATGGAATGGTTTGGGTTGGAAGGGACCTTCAAGATCATCCAGTCCCACCCCCTGCATGGGCAGGGACACCTCCCAGCAGCCCAGGCTGCTCCAAGCCCCATCCAACCTGCCCTTCAACACTGCCAGGGATGGGGCAGCCACAGCTTCCCTGGGCAACCTGGGCCAGGCTCTCACCACCCTCACACCAAAGAATTCCCTTCTCATCTCCAACCTCAATCTCCCTCTCCCACTTTTCATCCATCCCCCTCATCCCATCCCTCCCTGCCCTTGTCCCAGTCCCCTCCCCAGCTTTCCTGGAGCCCCTTCCAATACTGAATACAAAATAATCTGGTAAATTTCCATGTTTACATTGATATTATTTCAGTTTTGACTTCCAGATTCCCATCTGTCCCATTTCACTCTATCAAAAGAGAGGGTTTTCTGTATTTTAAATAGTTGCCACTCTCACTCAGCATCTTCCATGTTAAAAAAAGGGACACTCAGCTGATCAGCTGAGGATCTCACTGCATTTGGGTTCCTCCCCAACAGGCATGGCCACCATGTACGTCCGTTACAAACAAGTTCATGCTTTGAATCCAGAAAAATCCAAGATCATCAAGCTTAACAAGATTGGCCTCACCCTGGGATTGATGAGCTGCTTTGGACTTTGCATTATTGCCAATTTCCAGGTTGGTGCTTTGTTTGTCCTGAACCTGCCCAGAGTTGTGTGTGTTTGTTACTGAGATCCCTCATAAAATGGGGGTTTTACTGAAAGCAAAACGTGTGGGGGGGGAACCTGGTTTGTTGTTGTATTCCCTATGAAAACTGTAATAATAAGATTTAATGTTTGGTTTATAATGTTTTACTTACTCCTGATTTGCTTTATTTACTGGGACTTGTTCAGGATTCAGCAAATCTCAAAACTAAAAACCCCACGAGTTTGCAGAAAGAAAACTCACCTTGGATCTCCTCAGAGGAGGTCTGAAGGCCCCTGCTCTAGAGGAAAAGGCCACAATTATCTTATATTTTGACTCAGGAGAATCAGGTATCAGTCAAAATGTGTTACAAATACAAGCAAAGCCAGCAAAAACACCCAACAGGACATCCAGCTCTGAAAAATCTGCCCTCTGAGGTATTTTTTCCTTCAAAACCAACACCATTCTTGAAAACACTGCCCTGACTTTCTCCAGCTTTTTCATTTCTCCCTCCCAGTGTCTCTGTTGTGGTTTTTTTCCTCTCCAATACTTCCCACCCCCTCCAAAAAAATTATGGGACACTTTTCCCTATCTCACACCATCAGCAGGGCCACATTCTACAAGAGAGTTGTACAAGCTCCACCATCCTCATCACATGAATTTCCTGCTAGATTTCTTGGGGATCTGCAGCGGTGCCTTTAGCCACTAGATGCTGCAGTGGCACATCCCTCTCCTGCTGGTGTTGGGCCAGGAAAAAGCAAGGAGGAAAAGCTCTTGGAAAGCTCCACCTTTTTCCCTAGCACAGCTCTCCAACTGCTTCAGCACCTCCGGTCTGACACTCATTTTGGGTTGGTTTTGGATGCCTCAAATCTGTTTACTTTTTTTGAGAGCCCCATCAGAAGCAGAGGTCACAGCTCCCCCCACCAGTCCCACCCAGCAAAAGGCTCCAGGTTGTGTTCAACTCCATGATTTCCCTCCACCACTAGTCAGGAGAGGGGATGTCCACTTTCTGTGGATTTCAAGATAATCAGAATATAGAAGGTGCTAATTTGTTAACTAGCCTGTGTAACGCTTCATCTGGAGTAAGACAAAGCTTGAAAGTGATGGACCTGCACCTGATCTGGTTGAGCCACAGAGTGGTGGGGTTGGAAGGGACCTCTGGAGATCACCCACTCCAACCCCCTGCTAGAGCAGGATCCCCTAGATCAGATCCCACAGGAACACATCCAGAGGGGTTGGGATGTCTCCAGAGAAGGAGACTCCAGCACCTCCCTGGGCAGCCTGTCCCAGGGCTCTGTCACCCTCACAGTCAACAAGTTCCTCCTTATGTTCAGCTGGAACCTCCTGTGCTCCAGTTTGTGCCCAGTGCCCAGTGCCCCTTGTCCTGTCACTGGGCACTGCTGGGAAGAGTCTGGCCCCATCCTGCTGACACCCCCTGGAGATATTGAGGAGGGTTGATGAGATCCCCCCTCAGGCTCCTCCTCTCCAGCTGAACAGCCCCAGCTCTCCCAGCCTTTCCTCACAGGCAGGTGCTCCAGTCCCCTCAGCACTTGGGGGCCCTGCCCTGGACCCTCTCCAGTAGCTCCTTGTCCTTCCTGACCTGCAGAGCCCAGAACTGGGCACAGTTCTGCTTTTGAGGAGTACTCAATTTGAGGGCCACCCTGGAAGCAAAAGGAGCCCGAACCCCCTGGAACCCACCAGCTACTGAGGACAAATGAAGAATGAACATACACAAAGATGAACACAGGGGACATGGGAACAGCCACCCCAGAGAGCTCCAGGCAGCTGTCCCTGCTGGGGTCACAGGGCTCTTCCTCAGGGGAGATGTCATTCCTGCAGTTCAGCCAGTGCTACTTTAGCCCAGCTGTGGCTGTAGATTTCATCTCCTACAGGGCAAAGATTTCTCCCTGATGACCCCTGATCAGCACAGTTTTGGAGCCTACACCTTTGCAAGTTGCTTATTCACTTTTGAAATTCAAATCCCCACCTCTGCTCTAGTGTGGATGAGGCATCTCAGATGGATCCGGGCACACGAGGAGCACGTGGAGGTGGGGAGGAAAAGGTGACTCCAGTTCCTGATTTTAATAATGACTTGAGTCAGCTCCACAGAGCAGAACCTGGAGCTTTAGGGCATAAAAAGATCACCTGCATGATTGGAGCTGAGGGAGCTTCCCAGGCTGGCATTGCACAACTGCCAAGACTCTTTATGCTCTTGGGTCCCTTGCTCAGCCAAGGAGGGGGAGAGGAAAGGACTGAACTCAGTGAGCTCTGAGGGCACAAATTTTAAGTTGGGTTGTTTTTCTTAGAATAACTTCTAGTTCCATGGATTTTTACTATTTGGGAGTTGATTCTTCTGGATTATTCTTTTTAAGTTCAGAGATATTATTACTTGATTCAACCTTGTTGCCTTGATTATTCAGAGATTTGACAAACAAGACCTGTTCAGGCTACAATAATTCAGAGAAGTGCTAAACCTTGTTATTCTTAATCCAATTTTGGTTATTAGAACTGTGTCCTTTTTATCCTGGATTACATTATCCCTCATAGATGTAGATCCCTGGGATGGAAATGCTCAGTGACAGGATCACAGAATGTCAGGGCTTGGGAGGGACCTCTGAAGATCATCGGGTCCAACCCCCCTGCCAGAGCAGGACCAAAAACTAGGGCAGATCACTCAGAAAGGCATCCAGATGGGTCTGGAAAGTCTCCAGAGAAGGAGCCTCCACCACCTCTCTGGGCAGCCTGTCCCAGGGCTCTGTCACCCTCACAGTCAAGAAGTTCTTCCTCATGTTGAGGTGGAACTCCCTGTGCTCCAGTTTGAACCCATTGTCCTTGTCCTGTCACAGGGCACAAGTGACAAGAGCTTGTCCTGCCTTCTTGATGCCCTCATGTATTTATAGACATTCATTAGATCCCCCCTCAGTCTTCTCCTCTCCAGACTGAACTGCCCCATGTCTCTCAGCCTTTCCTCATCAGACAGGTCTTCCAGTCCCTTCATCATCCTTGTAGCCTCCATTGGACTCTCTCCAGTAGATCCTTGTCCCTGTTGAACTGGGGAGCCCAGAACTGGACACAACACTCCAAGTGAGGTCCCACCAGGGCTGAGGGGCAGGAGAAGCTCCCTTGACCTGCTGGACACACTCCTACTAATGCATCTCAGGAGACCATTGGCTTTCTTGGCCTCAAGGGCACATTGTTGTTCCATGGATCACTTGTCCACCAGGACTCCAAGGTCGAATCTCCATGGAGCTGCTCTCTAGCACATCACCTTCTAGCCTATTGCCACTCCCATTAACAGCCCAACAACAGGAATTCCTTCATCCAGTCTCAGTGTTCCTGTCCTTTCTGGCTAATGGGAACAGCTCTTACAAATCCCTGTACTCAAGATACTGCTGTGACCTGGAACTCAGCCACGAGAGTGTGACCAAAGCAGCAGGGCTGGGCAGGTCCTGAATTCCAGCAAACTGGATGGAGTTTCCAAGAAATACCTCCTAGGGATTAGCAGGTTCCAGGAGTGCTCAGCTTGGGATGTGAGAAGGTAATTGGGTGGAGTGCCAGAGGTTCACAGAAAAAAACTGTTCTCAGAAGTGAAGTAGGTTCTGTACCAGCAGTTCTTTCTTTCCCCAGAAATGTATCCTCTACTATGTCCACGTGGTTGGAGCCTGCCTGACATTTGGAGTAGGGGCCATTTATATGCTGGTTCAGACCATCCTGTCCTACCTGATGCAGCCAGAAGTTCACAGCAAAGACATCTTCTGGGTCCGTCTGGCACTGCTGCTCTGGTGTTGCTCCAGCATTGTGAGCAGTATCCTTTTGGTGTCACCAGAACCCACAGCAGCTTCACAGGGTTTGCCACTGTGTGGGGAGGTGACAGGCTGGAGGGGAGGGATCCATCCAGAGGGACCTGGACAGGCTGGAGAGGGGGGCTCATGCAAACTGCATGAAGATCAACTAGGTCAAGGGCAAGGCACAAATACAGGCTGGGAGGAGAATGGATGGAAAACAGCCCTGAGAAGGACTTGGGGGTGTTGGTGGATGAGAAGCTCAACATGAGGTGGCACCATGTGCTGGAGCCCAGAAACCACCCTTGTCCTGGGCTGTGTCACCAGCAGAGGGACCAGCAGGACAGGGGGGATTCTGTCCCTCTGCTCTGGTCAGACCCCACCTGGAGCACTATGTCCAGTTCTGGTGCCCTCAGCACAGGAAAGATATGGAGCTGTTGGAGAGGGTCCAGAGAAGGGCCACCAAGATGGTCCAAGGGCTGGAGCAGCTCTGCTCTGGAGCCAGGCTGGGAGAGTTGGGGTGTTCAGCCTGGAGAAGAGAAGGCTCCAGGGAGACCTTAGAGCAGCTTCCAGTGCCTGAAGGGGCTCCAGGAAAGCTGGGGAGGGTCTTTTCACCAGAGAAGACAGTGATAGGACAAGGGGTGATGGTTTTAAACTGAGAGAGGGGAGATTGAGGTGAGATGTTAGGAAGAAATTCTTCACTCTGAGCATGGTGAGGAGCTGGGATGGGTTGCCCAGGGAGGTTGTTGATGCCCCATCCCTGGAGGTTTTTAAGGTCAGGTTGGTTGAGGTTTTGTGCAGCCTGGTCTGGTGGTTCCCTGCTCATGGCAGGGGGGTTGGAACTGGATGATCTTTAAGGTCCCTCCAACCTTAATGGTTCTCTCATCTGCTGGAAACCTTTTGCAAATGCGAAAAAATCCCAAATCTGTTTTCTAACCAAAATTAGAGGAAAGTAAAGCTGTAGAAATAATGACCTAGACATACATGTATGGAAAGGGGAGGAAAAGGAAATTGTCAGTGTTTTCTAAATTAACAGCTCATCATTTAATAAGGGAAGGATGGTAATGGGGTAAAGTCTGTGGCCATGGGGGAAATGGTTGTAACTGGTGCTGGAGAACAGAAGGAAACACACATCTTGTATCAGGAATAGTGTGGCCAGCAGGAGCAGGGCAGGGATCATCCCCTTGTGCTGGCACTGGTGAGGCTGCACCTCAAATGCTGGGGTCAGTTTTGGGCCTCTCATGACAAGAAGGCTGTTGGGGAACTGGAGCGTGTCCAGAGAAGGGGAACAGAGCTGGGGAAGGGGCTGGAGAACAAGGAGAAGGGGCTGGAGAACCTCTGAGGAGCTGAGGGAGCTGGGGGTGTTGAGCCTGGAGCAAAGGAGGCTGAGGGGAGACCTTCTGGCTCTGCAACTGCCTGAGAGGAGGTTGGAGCCAGGGGGGTTGGGCTCTGCTCCCCAGGAACAAGGGACAGAACAAGAGGAAATGGCCTCAAGTTGTGCCAGGGGAGGCTTAGATTGGATCTTGGGAACAGTTTCTCCCTGGCAAGCGTTGTCAGGCCCTAGCCCAGGCTGCCCAGGGCAGGGGGGGAGTCCCCATCCCTGGAGGGGTTTCCAAGCCCTGGAGATGGTGCTGAGGGACATGGGGCAGTGGTGGCCTTGGCAGGGCTGGGGGAACAGTTGGACTCAGGATCTTAAAGGTCTTTTCCAACCCAAAGGATTTTATAATTCGATTAAAATACTCCTGAGCCTCTCCTGGAGTGAAGCAGCAGAATTGCCAACAAAGAGCAAAGCAGTTAATTACCCACCCTGTAATGAGGGGAAGAGGGAGCCAGTTATTTTTGTAGCACAAGGATTCAATTCTTCCTATTGCAGCAGGATCTCAGGCAGGTCACCACCAGCTACCTGAGCTGGACCTTCTCATGAGCAGAGAATGGGGCATCTTGCATTCAGATCAGCACCCAGAGCTCCCCAGGCCACTCACAGCAAGTTTTTAATAAGCTTTGGGAAGCTGGGTTTTCAAAGACATGTTTGTGCCAGAAATTTCAGCCTTTTTCAGCACCAAAATTAATCTTCCACAGCAGGAGGTTCTTGATGTTTCATCTCATTAATGACTGCAAAAAGCTGAGAGCTTAATCCTATGAAAATCAGATCTTCTGTAACTTCATCCCTCGGGATCAGCTCTGCTGCAGCTTCTCTTTTCTCTGTAAATTGTTGAAAAAAAAAGGTCATCTGAAGCATTCCAGAAAGAGCCCAGTTCTCTGATCAAATAAGGAGCCCTTGCCATGGAGGGTTTCTCCTTGGCAACTGCACCAAAGCAGTGATCAAACCTTGAGTGAAGTGAAGGGGAAACACAGAAGCTGCTGAACAATCTGTGCTGCAAACAAGGGGATCCCAACCTGGGAACCACGTACCAGGGAGTCAAAGTGGTTGAAGAGTTGAAAAGCAATCAGAGAGTCATCATAGAATGGGTTGGGTTGGAAGGGACCTTCAAGATCATCTAGTTCTAACCCCCTGCATGGGCAGGGACACCTCCCACCAGCCCAGGCTGCTCCAAGCCCCATCCAACCTGCCCTTCAACACCCCCAGGGATGGAGCAGCCACAGCTTCCCTGGGCAACCTGGGCCAGGCTCTCACCACCCTCACACCAAAGAATTCCCTCCTCATCTCCAACCTCAATCTCCCTCTCCCACTTTTCATCCATCCCCCTCATCCCATCCCTCCCTGCCCTTGTCCCAGGTCCCTCTCGAGCTTTCCTGGAGCCCCTTCAGGCACTGGAAGCTGCTCTGAGGTCTCCCTGGAGCCTTCTCTTCTCCAGGCTGAACACCCCAACTCTCCCAGCTTGGCTCCAGAGGAGAGCTTCTCCAGCCTTGCATCATCTCCGTGACCTCTTCTGGACTCACTGCAACAGCTCCATGTCCTTCTTATGTTGGGGCCACCAGAATTGGACCCAGCTCTCCAGGTGGGGTCTCAGCAGAGCAGAGCAGAGCAGAGGGGACAATCCCCTCCCTGTCCTGCTGGTCCCTCTGCTGGTGACACAGCCCAGGACAAGGGTGGTTTCTGGGCTCCAGCACATGGGACACCTCATGTTGAGCTTCTCATCCACCAACACCCCCAAGTCCTTCTCAGGGCTGCTCTCCATCCCCTCTCCACCCAGCCTGTATTGGTGCTTAGAATTCCCTGGTCCAGACACCATCAACCTGAAAATACCACTTAAAAAAAATAAATTCCAAAAGCCCAGTATTACATTTGATGATAGTTTAAAGGCTTTCAGAAGGAGGCTGGTTTGAGGAAGGAGGTGTAAGGAGATGCAGTAAATAGAGAGCAAAGATGGTAATTTAGGTTAGATTTAACCTCTTCATGTGACAGTAACTAGTCAGTTCCAGGGAGTTGCAGGGCATGATGTGAAGCAGCTCAGGTCACCAGGACTGTTCCTTATGCTGAGGAAACCTTGTGGAGAGCACAGACATCTACATCCTCAGCTTGACACAATCCAGAGCCCAGTCTGAAACTTCCAAGTTGCTCATTCTTGGCCTTGAATCTTCCTTAACATGTTTCTTCAGTGTTTGTTTCCTCAGTTGTCTTATACAGTGGCCTGTATGGAACAAATCTAGTGCAGAAGTTGCACTGGAACCCTCAGGAAAAGGTGAGTGAGCAGAGAAAAGAGAGAGAGAACAAAAAGCAGCTCCATCATTTGCAGGGAGACTGGCCCAGCCCAGAGGGTTGTGGTGAATGGGGTTGGATCCAGCTGGTGGCCATTCACCAGTGGTGTCCCCAGGACTCAGTTTTGGGTCCAGTCTTGGTCAGTATCTTTATTAATGACCTAGATGAGGGGATGGAGAGCTTCCTAAGTAAGTTTGCAGATGACACCAAGTTGGGAGGAAGTGTTGATCTGCCCAAGGGCAGGAGGGCTCTGCAGAGAGGCCTGGACAGACTGGCTGGATGGGCCAAGGCCAATGGGATGAGGTTCAACAAGGCCAAGTGCTGGGTTTGAGGGCTTTTCCCACCCCTCCCTTTCTGGAAAGCATAAGGAACATCTCAGGAATCTGCCCACATCCAAGGGAGGGCCTTGAACTTGACTTTTGTAAAGAGGTTCTGCAGAGTCACACCAAGCTCTCAAAGGAACCTGCAGGTTGTGCAGGTGGGTATTGAATTCCCAATGGGGATTGTCCCAGGTGTGTGGAGCAGGTGTTTTCCTGCCCCTTCTCCCTCTTCTGCTGAGTTCAGCACTTCACTCTCAGAGACTGCAGATACCCAGAGAACTTTTGCTCTCCAAAGGGAATATTTAGCTGTGGGATGTCACATGCAAGCCACCTTTGTACCTCTGAAGATTCCAGAGGAGCTTCTCACACTGATCCTCTTTTCCCCTCCCAGGGCTACACAGCTCACATGGTCAGTACAGTCTCAGAGTGGTCGTTGGCCTTCTCCTTCCTCAGCTTTTTCCTCACCTATATCCGTGACTTTCAGGTAAAGAGAAGTTGGTATGAAGTTCTCTGCTTCTCCAAGCTCTGAATGCCTGAGCTGGTGCAGGCTGGGCTGCTTCATCTCACCAGCCATGGAGGCTGGGAGCTCATAGCATGGGAGACCTGCCACAGGGGGCCTTTCCTCCAGGATTGCAAGGCAAATGATGGAGTTAGAGGTTGGGAATCAGCCTTCCAGTTCTGGAGTCAATCTGCATTTTGTGCTTTCATCTGACTCCTGAAAGCCCAGGAAGTGCTCCAGGCTTGGGGAAGAGAGGCTGGAGTGTGTCCAGAGAAGGGGAACAGAGCTGGGGAAGGGGCTGGAGAACAAGGAGAAGGGTCTGGAGAACCTCTGAGGAGCTGAGGGAGCTGGGGGTGTTGAGCCTGGAGCAAAGGAGGCTGAGGGGAGACCTGCTGGCTCTGCAACTGCCTGAGAGGAGGTTGGAGCCAGGGGGGTCAGGCTCTGCTCCCCAGGAACAAGGGATAGAACAAGAGGAAAGGGCCTCAAGTTGTGCCAAGGGAGGCTTAGATTGGATCTTGACAACAGTTTCTTCCTGGCAAGGGTTGTCAGGCCCTGGCCCAAGTTGCTCAGGGCAGAGTCCTCATCCCTGGGGGGGTTCAAGGAACAAGGCACTTCAGGACTGGCTCCAGTGGGCACGGTGGGGTTTTTCTGGCTTGATAGCTGGACTCTGTGATCTCAGAGATCTTGTCCAACAGTGACAGTTCCGTGACTCTGTGATCTCAGAGATCTTGTCCAACAGTGACAGTTCTGTGACTCTGTGATCTCAGAGATCTTGTCCAACAGTGACAGTTCTGTGACTCTGCCGTTTCCCACGCCGAGCCCAGCGCCGAGCTGCTAACTGGAGTTCCCTTTCCTTTCCCCCCATGCAGAAGATCTCCCTGCGTGCTGTTGCCAGCCTGCAGGGACAGACCCTGCACAACCCCCCGCAGAGCTTCGGGACTGATGAGCAGCCCCTACTGGTCGCGGGGAGCATCTAATGAAGGTGAAGAGAACACGTTCTCTAGGCTGAACTCAGGAATCTCCTGGCAAGAACAGGTGACGTTTCTAAGCACTTCTTTTCTACCCAAATGCCATGAAGGGATTGGATTGTACTTGACACAAAGGGCTTCGCTACTGACCCGCACAGCAATGCAAACCCACCACTGTTGTACCCGAGCCTGGAACATTTCTACACACCCCAATTGTCATGGAAGAATTAAATGAAGGTTATTCATGAGCTGTGTCTCCTCATCACTGCCCAGTTTTACCCCAGCCCCTCTCCCATGTTCCTCAAGCCCTCTGGGTGCATGGAGCCCCTCCAGCCTCACCCTCCCACAGCTCCCTCATGGAGTGGAAGGATCCTAAAGTCACCTCATCCTTTCAGGAACCCTCAGGGAAAGGCCTCTACAGCTCAGCTCCCTCCAGGGGACAGGAGGAGGCTGTTCTCTTGGCCAGCTGCCCTCTGGCTGGAAGGGCAGCCATGTCTTTGCTCCTGAGGAGCAGTGACAAGGAGCAGCAGCAGGGACAGGACAAGGGGCACAAGCTGGAGCACAAGGACATTCAAGTAAATCATGAGGAGGAACTTCTTGACTGTGAGGGTGACAGAGCCCTGGGACAGGCTGCCCAGGGAGGTGCTGGAGACATCCCGAACCTAGCTGGATGTGTTCCTGTGGGATCTGATCTAGGAGATCCTGGTCTAGCAGGGGGTTGGGACTACATGACCTCCAGAGGTCCCTTCCAACCCTGACTGCTCCATGACAGCAGCCTCTGCAGCCTGCTCCAAGGTCAAACCACTCTGCTCTTTCTCCTTCCCTCCCCTGGCAGTGGTTGGAGCTGATGGGCAGGTTCATCCAAGAGTCCAAGTGCAGATTTTCCTACTGCACAAGACTAGGAAGAGTCAGACTCCACAGCCCAAGTCCTGCTCACTCAAGGGAAGCTCTGGGACAAGCACAGAGCAGAACATGACGTGTGTCCTTGTAGCCTTGATGCCCCCAGTGCTCCCCTGAGAGTCTCCAGCCCAAGAGACTGGGCAGGAGACCAGCTGCTCCTTCCTCTTCCAGCTTCCCAAAGCCACCCCGTGGTGCTGCCAGCCCCAAGCCTGACCCTGCAGCAGCTCAGGGTGCTCCAGAGGTTGAGCTCCTCAAGGCTGGGCACTCCAGATGTGTGCCAGGGTGTTTCTACTGAGACAACCTCCCCCAAACAACAGTCAAGTCCAGACCAAGCCAGAAGCCTTAAAACCAGACATTTGCTCTTGTGCTACCTAAGTACAGCAACAAAATTTGATATTTCATTCCAGACAGAACCCCTGGTTAGCAGGAAGAGCTCAGCTTCCCTCCTCAATCATTGCTCCTTGCTACAGCCACACGAGCTCCAGCATTTGTTTCCTCCCACACCAAAAGAGCTTGTGCTGCCACCTGCCCTTCCCTGGAGGGGCAGGTAAAGGAGCAGGAGGGGGATTTCAGGTGGAGGCCACCTGGAAGGCACAGCAGCTGCCCAGGGCAAGTTCCTTCTTCCACATTACAAGGGATGTTTCCATCCCAATTGTGCTTTGTCTGTACTGGCAGCCTGGTCCAACCTGAGTTCAGACACTGCAGGTGAGGAAAATGAGCTTTGGAACCAAAAATCTGCCAAACTGTTGAGGCCTGGGAGTAAGAGGACAAGGAGAGACCATGGAAGTGAAAGAGGAAGATTTAGGTTAGATATTAGGGGAAAAATCTTCACCACGAGGGCAGGAAGGCCCTGGCCCAGGTTGCCCAGGGAAGCTGTGGCTGCCCCATCCCTGGCAGTGTTGAAGGGCAGGTTGGATGGGGCTTGGAGCAGCCTGGGCTGGTGGGAGGTGTCCCTGCCCATGCAGGGGGTTGGGACTAGATGATCTTGAAGGTCCCTTTCAACTCAAACCAGCCTGAGACTCTATGATGAACATGGACTCATACTGACCCCAGGGACTCCACAACTTGGGGAGGCCTCCCCAGGTGTTCAATTTGAGCTGCTGATAAATCCCCAGGGCTCAGGGCCTCCCTGCCGAGCTGCAACCTTGGCCACATGGTCTAAGGAGGCAACAAACAAGCCCCAGCTGAGCTGCTCCAGCCTGGGGAACATGAGGGCTCAGCAGCAGAAACTCCTTTTTTAGGCCTCACTGAAGGCTCACAAGGCAAAGGGCTTAACCTGGAGATTGTCACAGATCCCTTTTCTTTGTCCAGAAGGGACACAAAGTCACTCCTCCCTCTCTTGTTCCTTCTCTTTCTTCCTTCCCTTCCCTTCCTTCCCTGCTCACAGGGCTTTTCCCTCCTTCCCCACATCTCCTGGCACCACCTTCCTTCCCTCATCTCTCCCTCCCATGCATCACAACCAAGCTTGGGGAGACTGATCCTGACAAGCAGCACCAGGGAGCTTTCCTGGGAGTGATTCCTGCTCCAGAAGTTCCTCAGGAGCAGCACCTGAGGAGCCAACCAGGACAGCCCCCCACATGAGCCATAAGGAGGCCAAGCTCTGGGAAGACTTGGAGCTCCACCCAAACCACCACATTCCTGAGTTTGCAGTTATAAATGACACCCCCACCTGCTCCTCACCCCCTGGGGGAGTTTCCTGCTCATTTGCAGATCCACAGAAGTCCAGAGCATCAAACTCTTCTCTGCTTCACAACCTCCCCAGCCCAAGGACAACCTCCTTCCTCTCACCCTTTTCCAAAGGGACAGGGATGAGCAGCACCCAGGAACAGCTCCAAGGACCCCAGAGAAACACACCCCATTGCACCTCTGCCTCTTTCTCCTCCTCCCCTCCAGTCCCACCAACACAGACAATGGCTGTTGAGGGGGCTGCTCAGTCCCTTAAGGGCTGAGCCAGGTTTTACCTTTCTAGCTGAAGACTTCTGGTGGCCAGTCCCCCTACAGGAACCCAGGCACAGTCCTGTGCTGGCTGGGGGAAACTAGAAGACACAGAGGATCAACCCAAGGCTCTCAAGATCTACTGCCATCACTGCTTCAGGCTCCTGAGGGCCTTAATTGCCCTGACCAGCCTCACATGGGACCTCCTCCCACACTTCCTGCCCATGGCCCAGGAGTTCCATATGAGCCCAGGTTCAAGAATCCAGTCCTGCCCTGTACTATGTTGTGGTAGACAGGTCTTCAGCTGCACTGGCTTTATTTTGTGGTGGAACTTCAGACCTTGACTGTAGGTAACTTTCCTCCAGCCTCATCTCCTCCATGGACCTCAAATGTAGCTCTGCTCTGGAGCCAGGCTGGGAGAGCTGGGGTGTTCAGCCTGGAGAAGAGAAGGCTCCAGGGAGACCTTAGAGCAGCTTCCAGTGCCTGAAGGGGCTCCAGGAAAGCTGGGGAGGGACTTGGGACAAGGGCAGGGAGGGATGGGATGAGGGGGATGGATGAAAAGTGGAAGAGGGAGATGGAGGTTGGAGCTGAGGAGGGAATTCTTTGGTGTGAGGGTGGTGAGAGCCTGGCCCAGGTTGCCCAGGGAAGCTGTGGCTGCCCCATCCCTGGCAGTGTTGAAGGGCAGGTTGGATGGGGCTTGGAGCAGCCTGGGCTGGTGGGAGGTGTCCCTGCCCATGCAGGGGGGTTGGAATTGGATGATCTTGAAGGTCCCTTCCCAACCAAACCTTTCTGTTATTCTATGATTCCCTTCTTTTCTGGGTGTCTTGTGACTCCTCCCCTATCTCCCACCATCATCTCCAAAGGCCTGAGTTTTCACTTTAAACTCTTGCCTTTATTTTTATTTTTTAGACTCATTATCATCCTGAGCTGGGCAGTTCTCAGCAGCTGCTGGGATGTGCTGGGATCTTGCTGACCTGCTCATCTTGGTGCCATCAACCCCTGGCCATTCTCACAGCTCTTCTGCTGTTGTTTCTTCTGCTGTTGTTTCTTCTGCTGCTCCCACAAGCTCTTCATTCTCTCTCCAGATCAGTCTTCTCTTTTCTCTTTCAATTCTCTACAACCAAAGACAAGTCCCTGCAGGTTCAGTCAGGGAGTCAAATTCAGTGTCATTAGGAAGTGGTGATGTTGAAACAGGCATCTCTGGTCCATCATCTACCTGGATCTTCTTCACAATAGTTTTACAGAAACCAGGCTGCTGTGGTGGAACTGTCCTCAGCTGTAGAAATGGCTGGGTTGAGGAGAAGAAAGGTTCTTCAACAGTTGGCTCTCAAGGTGAGGAACACTCCTCTTGGAGCTCTTCCATATTCACAAATCACTTGGAAAAGCAGGTGAAGAGCAAGATGTCCAAGTTTGCTGGTGGCAAAGCTCTCAAGAAGATTGAAAAACCCTTCAGAAGGTTCTTGTAACACCCAATGGCTCAGCAATTGAACAAGTGAGGAAACTCAGTGTAGATGAATGAAAACTCTCCTGTTTCCATGCACAGTAACAAGCTGTGAACGAGCTGTTGTGTTCCAAGAGGTCCTGACATTCAGCAGATCAACCACAAAAATATCAGCTCAATCATGAAGAGCCCTGGAGTAGAAGAAATTCTTAGGGAGGTACAGAAAGCAAAACAAAACCCATCAAAATGCCACGTGGTGAAATGACACTTTGATCAGTGTTGTCCTTCTGGACCATCCCTCTGAAAAAGATGATGGTGGAACTGGAAAACTATGGAGAAGGGCAAGAAAAATGGTCAAAAGTTTGGGAGAGTTTGTGTTCAGAGGACACTTGTGCAGGATTTCCCAGTGGGGAAAAGAAAGACTGAGGGGCAAGAAAAAAAAAAAAAAAAAAAAAAGTCTAGAAATTCATTTTCTGCTTGGATGTGGTGAGGTGAGAATGGGTTACACCACAGAGGATGGGGCTCTGAGCAACCTGGGCTAGTGGGAGGTGTCCCTGCCCATGCAAGGTGTTAGATCTGGATGATCTTTAAGGTCCTTTCTAACCCAAACCATCCCATGATTCCATGAAAAATAGAACAGGGAATGAAAAAAAAAACACCAACCCAAGGGGTATTGAACATAAAGACACAACATCTGTTAAAGAGCTGGAAAGCTGCAAGATCTTGTGTATGAAGATCATCCAGTCCCACCCCCTGCATGGGCAGGGACACCTCCCACCAGCCCAGGTTGCTCCAAGCCCCATCCAACCTGCCCTTCAACACTGCCAGGGATGGGGCAGCCACCTGGACACCCTCAGCCAGGCTCTCACCATGCTCTGTGTCAAAAAATTAATCCTTCTCTCTGAATTTCTTCTCTTTTAGTTTAAAACCATCACCCTTTGTCCTACCAAAAAGTCTGTCCCCATCTTTCCAGGCCCCCTTGAAGTACTGGAAGGCCACAATGAGGTCTCCTCAGAACCTTCTCTTCTCCAGGGTGAACAACCCCAACTCTTTCAGCCTGTTTCCACAGATGTGCTCCAGCCCTCAGATCATTCTGGTGATCTTTGGACTCTCTTCTAGGCATCATCATCAGTCTCTATTCTGATTTCCTTCCCCCTGTTGGTCTCTGCTACAGAGACAATGACGGTCCAGATGGATCTTCATGGTCCAGATGGATCTTTAGACTAATCCAGCACTGACTACTTCTGGTGTTATCACTTGCTTTTGAAAGCAGTGTCATCTCCCTTCCCACCTGCCAGAAGGTCTCTTCAGCCTGCACTGTAACTGCTCCACACCACCCCCATCCAGAAGACAGGTAGGGCTCTGCCAAATGGTGCCACTGGAAATCCATCATGACTTGTCCATTCCAATCAAACAACTGCAGGAAATTCAGGGTCACTTCCATGTTGCCCAAACCAGGGTGAAAGCTGAACCTGCAGGTCCCTGATGACCCTGATATCTGCAGATGAATTCGTTTTCTGCTATTTCTGCACAGCTCCACCCCCACTGCTGGCTTGTCTGGAAGAAACTGGACCTGATGGACTCCAAGGTACCCACCTTCCAGGTGGCCTCTCATGCTACATATTGTTGACCCACCATCCATGGAGATATTTAAAGATCTGGTGCTTAGGGACATGATTTAGTGGTGGCTTTGGCAGTGTTGGGTCCAAGGTTGGACTCAACAATCTTAAGGGTCTTTTCCAGCATAAAAGATTCTCTAAATGGCTGGGACAGACCTCTCTGAAGATCTGTGTCCTCATCCAGAAATGCTGGTGCTGTGTTCTAGCTGAAAAGTCCTTTGCACATGGATAGTTCTGCCCACATTCTCCACATCACCAGGTTAGGCTGATGTTGGCAACTGGCCCAGCATCATCTTTGCTTCCCAATCTGTGTTGTCCAGCACTCTCTGCTGCCACCTCTGCTCTCTGGACCCAGCCACTCCAAAAAGATCTTCCACTGGTTCTTCCTGCATATTTGCTTGAAAGTTACACTTTCAATTCATGGCCTAAATCCATGGTTTCCACATTGCCAAGTTCCTCCCACAGCAAACACGGTGTGGAACTCCAGTGCCTTCTGCCAGCCAAGGCCACCCACCAGGATGGCTGCCAGTAACTCCCACTCTCAGCACCACAGCCAGTGTCCCCAGGACTCCTTCTGTCACAAAGAGATCACAGGAGCTGAAAGATGGAAGGGGCAGAAACGCAGGATCTGTGCTGGAGATGATGTGGCTGGAGAAGGAGCAGCTCCAACCACCTGGAAGGTTCCTTGGCTGCTGAAAATCCCTGAACTCCTGCTGTTGGTGCAGCCTTCCCACATCATCACACCAAGCAGCTTCTCTTGGCTCTGTGACCCTTTCAGCTTTGCAATGATGTTGTTCCAAGGACACCTCTTCCACAGATGGTTTGGCTTTGTCTTCCTGAATTGCTCTGAGTGGTTCCCACCACTAAATCCCAAGGAAACAGCCCGTTCACTCTGTTCCCTTTTTTTCACCCAATCCCACCGGTTACTTTTCTTCAAAACCTTCCCCTGAGGATCCTTCTCTGAGGGTTCAGTATTTTATCAGTGACTCTGGAGAAAACTCAGGCTGAAGTACCACTTCACCAGGGTGAAAGATGTTCTGGAAGGTGGTGTGTTGTAGAATGTCCAACCTGGAATCCTCCCAGTGTAAAGAGAGGATAAATCAACTTGGATTAATTTGTTTCTTTGGAGAACTTTGGGAAATAGAACTTCTGCCAGAGGGCAGTTGGGTGAGGGGTGCCTGTTGGAAGAGCATCTCCACAGGTGACTGCTCCACCAGATAGAAGACACAAGGCTGCCTCCATCTCCTGGCTGATTGCTGTTCCATCACCCTGGGTCTGGCTGGGATGGAGTCAGGTTTGTTCCCAGCAGCCCATGGTTGGGCCTTGTGAGGGAGGCAGAGTTGGTGCCACAGCTGCTGTTTCACTGAACAGCTGACACAACGTCAAGGCTTCCTCTTCTTCTCACCCCACATCCCACCCAGCAAGTAGGCTGGGGATGGACAAGGAGGTGGGAATGGCCACAGCCAGGACAGGGGCACCAAACTGATCAAAAGGGACAGTCCATCCCAGAGGATGTCATGGTCTACAGATGAAAGCTCAAGAAAGGAGCAGGATGCAGGAGATTCACAATTATAGGATTTGTCTTCCCAAATAAACACTGTGCATGTGGAGACCCAGGAAATGGCTGAATATCTCCCTGCTGATGGGACATGGGAACTCAATTCCTTATCTTGCTTTCCTGCACCCAGCCTGTACTTCCCAAGTCTTGCCCACTTTCCATTGTCTCCCCATCCTGCAGGAGAGAGGAGTGAACTGGGTGGGTGCTTGGCAGTTGGTCAGGGTCAACCCATCCCACCCATGGGGAACATTCCCACTTGTCACACAGAACAATGGTCTCCTCACTGCTCCTTACATTCCATGGGCAGGTTTGGCCAAACTTAAGCTTCTTCCATGCTTCCTGGAAGCAGCACAGATGAGACTGTGGACATCTTCCTCACTGCTGTCACCAGCTGCTCAAAAAAAAACATCTCCCAGAAACCAGCCTCTGTGCTCTGCTCATTGACCAATAAAGGGGACACAACATCTGGGCACACCTGCTCCACGAGCAACTCGGCCTCACCTCAGCATGCAGGACATTGGTCCAAGCAACAGGTCTTTGCTCAGGTGTCCTGCACGTGCTCCTGGCTCTGTCATACTGGGGCTGCACGACAGCACAGGTCATGAAACCCAATCCATGGACATCACTCCCTCTGATGCGCATCAGCCCTTCATTAGGGTCTGTTTCCCTGTGCTGAACTCTGGGATTTCTGCCCCAAAACACTCATTCCACACACAGTGAACCCATGGATGATGATACCACCTGTACCCCCTTGCTCTATCACAGGCACTTGAGTCATCTCCACAGTTCCAGTCATCCCAATCATGAAGGAGTTTAATTCCATTATACACCTTCCTTCTCCACCCTCCTTCTTTGATGTATCATCTCCTACACCTGGTCTATCTCAAGCTCTTCAGAGCAAGAACCATCTTCTCCACCTTGTAAAAGTCTGTCCTGCCTCTCTAATCCAACTGAGTTCTTCACACCATCAAGATGCACATTACTACATGGGGCTGATACAGTCTGCTGGGCTCTCCAAAGATCCATCACCAAAGCAACATCCTTCACCAAAACCCTCTGGATACACCAGGCACCAAGTGATAATAAAAACCCTGCAAAGGAAAAATTGATTAAACACCAGAAAATAAATAGTAGCAAAGAGTCTCCTGGGAACAGAAATCAGCAATGAAGTTCTACAGGGATCAGTGATGTTGAACACAACCATAAATGGACAAAGAACCGTGACAAATTCCATTGGCACAAGAGTTATTAATGGCTGGAACACCCCAGGACTGCAGAAGGACCTTCTGAAAGCCAATGACATGGACAACAGGAGGTAGGGAAAGGCACCCACAGAACACAGGACACAATATGCTGGGAAAACACACTGCAAAGATCCATCAATCCCAACAGCACAGACAGCTGGAGAGCACAACCTCTCCTGCAACTCAACACTAAGGTAGCATCAACCCAAGGTGGGCAAGAGACACATTCAAATAACAACTGAACAACAGAAGATACTGAGCCTGGAGTATTAAAGATACCACCCCTAGATAATGAAAGATGCCTCTTTTTTTTTTTGTCATTTCAACAAGTTATTATTTAGCACAATTTAAAAAAAAAAAAATACACCTTCCCATCCAAAATATCAACTCAATATCCAAACTTTTAACACTGCACAGCTGGCAAAGGCCTTATAAAGGCTTACAATAATAACAGGAAGAGACAGGTATCCAGCTAACTTCAGCAGGGGTTTCTACTGCCTCCATCTTCATGTCTTGAAGAGGTTTTGTATAAATATTACTCAGTATTACTGCCTAAAGTCTAATTCCCAGATCACTTAAATAGCACTTTTTCAACACTGACCTTTTATGACAATCAACAGTCCCCGGGAACTCACAGGTTCTCATGCACTAGAAAACTGCAGGAAAACAAACAAACCAACAAAAATACCTACAGCTGGGGGGTTGTCATTTACATTCAGCTTCTAAGAGGCCCAAGTGGCCTGTTCCAAAGTGGGAAAGTTTATTTGTAAGGGCTGATACAGAAAACCCTCCATTCAAAATCTAGTGAATACACCCATAAAACTGCCTGTTTTCTGCATCCTTCAATACAGTGTCCCAGAAGCAGAATTTAATGGTCCAAGTCTTTTATTTCTGGTATGTAACAAGAAACCTCTATTTTTTTTCTAAACACACACATACTGTAAAGATAATTAAGATCTTCCATCTACCAGAAATATTGATGTTGAAAGAAGGAGTTTCTTCTTAGAAGTGTCTGAAATGAAGATGAACGTGGTCCAGGTCACCAGCTTCAGCATCTCAGCTCTGCTGCATTTTTCTCCTCATCTCTTCAAGAGCTGCTTCTCTTTCCC